CTCCCCAAGTGTCTCTCAGCTGTCCATTCACCTGCCTGATTTGTTTTTTTTTTTAACAAACAGAATATAAGCAATAAATTATGCAGCTTGAGGCTGAGATTCCAAGACATCCCCCAAAACTGACTTAGAGGCAGCAGCACATCAACATGTGGTAACTGCAGAAGTTACTCTTAGTTAAAGAAATCCCTGAGCAGGCTGGAGTTAGGAACAAACAGTTCTTTCCTGGTTTGGTTTGTTATGAAGGGCTGGTGTTGAAACACAAAATGGAAATACAATGGAATTTGATGCTGGTAAGATCAAAGAAAGCTTGTACTATACTGCCCTGCAGTGCAAGTATGTGATGTTACCATGAGGTATTTTTTCCTTGACTTTGAAAGTCTGTGACCTCCATTTATAAAGACCAAGAACCATTACATTCGTCCTCTGAGTCGGTGTAGTACTTTTTCAATCCATTTTGCCCTTATATATATATATATATATACACATATAATGGACAACTGCAAGGTAACAGATACAAGCTACTCCTTCAATTCAACAGGAAAGAAAACACAAATAGATCCAATTCCCATTGTGCTGACAGCTGAACTGGTGTTGGCCAACCACTGAGCACATCTGAAGGCCTGTAATATTCAGAAGGCTTGCAGTTCACACCCTGCCACCACCCTTAAATTCACATTTTGATGCAGTTTAGACATTTTCAGTGTTTCAACTCGCAGCTACATTCTTGTAGGACAGCAGGGAGGGACCTTGAAGCAGAAAGCTGAAATCTCCAGTCTCCAGTAATGACCCAGACTGAAGGGTATCCAGGCAAATTAATTGTCCATGTACTTCTTCTTAATTCAAATGTTTGAAGAAAAGAAGAAATCACATGTCAGCCTATCAACTCTTTAATGCTTTGAGTAATTCAGCAAGAGACGGGGGTCAGAGAATGCTAAGACAGGGGATCAGCATTTTCTCAGCACATTGTCTAATTAGCTCCTGACTCCCTGAGAGACTTCAAAATATTAACCTGACAAAGTTGGTGCCCACAAAAATTCCATATTATCTGGGAACTTTCCAGCTCCTTTCAAAGCTGGATTATGCCTATCTGTTCTGCGCATTTCCTTGTGATATGAATTTTATAGACTGCAATCATTATTAGGCAGAGGGCTGCTCAGAGACAGGGACTGACTTGCACACTCACTGCTTGTCCTTGCATTAATGGGGGGTTGGGAAGAGAACACGACAGAAAATCCAGTAGGATTCAATCAGTTGCTGCTTTTAAATCAGAATTATTTTAAATAGCACATGGATGAGGTGGGAATTTTAATTAATTTCAGCCAAAGTCTTTTCCTAAAGAAAACATGGATATTTAGAATTACCTGGAAGAATGAGAAAGCAGACTGATCTTACCATGGATAATTCTCAGGGGTGTTCCTTCCAGAGGGAAAGGGATTCGGTGATTTCAGTGACAGTAGCTCAGCTACAGTGGGATCTGGCCTGTGAGTATCTGTAAAGGAATAAAAAACCACACATACCCCCCACCAATCTCTAAACTGCCTGGAGAATTTGGAATCTAGATATGCAGGATACAAGCTCATCTGAATCAACCTATGCCTGGGATTGTCACTGAGTGCAAACACAACCTCCTAGAAACAATGGGGAAGGAAGAGCAGAGAATAATTATCTCCCTGCACCAGCATTCCTCTGGGAATGTTTGAGAAATACACTGCATTTACTGTGTCCTTGTGACAAAATATTGACTTCCATGACAGTAATTGTGAGCAAGTGCTAAAGTACTGGTCTCTATAGGATATAGTTTATTTTATAAAACTTTTAATGGCATATTTAAAAATAAGTATACATTTTAATAAACATGAAGAACAAAAATTGATTGCTTACTGCAAAACCTCACAATTTTAGTCCTCCCTGTCCCTTTATGACTCATACATGAAATACATTTTCACTTGCATTAAAAACAGAGAACATCAGATTTGTGTGTTTTACTCCAGTTGTTGTTATTTATATTAAACTGATCAGAAATTCGCTGCCTTTCCCCAAATGTGCTGAGCACCCCCGATGAGTTGCAGAGCTCCTTTACTCCTGTTGACTCATGAGATGATCAGCAGACATTACACCTGCTTAATTCAAAGAACAAGTCTCAAAGCCCCGACCAGCTGTTCAGAGAATATCCTACTTCAGCTTTTCTGTAGAGAAAGCAACACTCTGGGGTTGGTCCCCGTTCCCATGCACAGGTACTATCTGACCATTTGAGATATAAGTGTCTATTTTTTTTATATGGTCCATCCCACCCTCTTCTTTAAAAAAAAAAATAAAAAATTAAAACCTCTGAATTCTGTGAGGCTACACTGTACTGAGTCATCCTGATCCTGCCACCAGAAACACAAACCTTGGCTCTTGTCCAGTGATCCCACTGAGTGTGGCTGCTCCCAGTTTCCAGCACTCAGCCTCTCAATCTGACCTCACCTTTGTTTTTGCTTATTCATTTTAGCTCCTGCTGTTTCCCCCTGTACTTACAGGATCACAGGAATACTCCCAAGCAGTTTTCCTCCAGCCAGTGCACATTTCACTGCAGTTCAGTTATGTATAGATACTGCAGCCACAGCTGCTCCCAATTTTAATTCCTTGCAATGTTTCAGAGAGAACATGAGTTTTTCATCCGGATATTGGCGAGACTACTCACTTTGGGAGTGCTGGCAATGAGTAAAATTAGGCAGGTCAGCAGGCCTTTGCAGGCAGGATAGAGTTATAAGAGCTTTCTTCTAAAAGAAACCCACATCATTATTCAGGTATTATAAATTACACCACTTTTAGGGGGAAAGGAGAGTAGTCATTTGACATGGCACTGTGTGACAAGGAGCGAATATTTGGCTGAGGGCTCTAAAGCACACCTCCACCTTGATGGAAAGTGCTATGGAATCTGTAATATCTACACAAAACCAGCAGGACCTTAGCTTAATAAGGTCTCATCCAAATGACTTGCTCACTAAACTGCATGGAATTCAATTTCTCTACCTCTGAAAGATGAAGGGCAAGTTGGTCCTGCCAGGGATGTAAATTTATGGCTCCGTGGCCTCAAAATGTGAAATGTATAGCATTAAATAGCACTGAGCTATTATTTAAAAAAAAAAAAAAAAGAAAGGAGGTGGGAATATGTGGGAATACAATCATAAAAAGGAGGCAAAGGCTACATAATTAGTACTATGTATTGCATGCACAGGCTAGATGAGGCAAGATTGCATACACAAAAGATGAGGCAACTTTTGGCAGAATATCTTCCAAAAAAAAAAGAAAGGGAAGGAAATCATCATAAAGGTAGAAGGAGACTGAAAAAGATGACTTCTATCTGTCCTCAGTTGTCTTGTGTGCCTAGAAGTCACTTCTATAAATTACACTCTGTCCAAGTGCAGTGAGATCAGGTAACTTCTCATGGCTCTCACGTCAGCCAGGCAGGAAGCAATTCCCTCTGTTCACGCAGTGTGGTGGTTTCTCTTTCTGGCTAATCAAGTGGAGAGCACTTGCTGGGATTTGTAGTAGTCCCAGTTTAAAATGGGGGGCTGGAATGAGTAAGGTATCCTCACAATTTCCATGGCAGACCATTTTTCCTGCGTGTAATCCATTACTGCAAATCCCAACAATAATTCGGAACAGTGATAATCCTCCATGGCATTGACCCTAAAGATCTTTACAGCAACAGAAATGAGATCAAAGGACAAATGAAAGTCTCTTAATCCCCCTAAGTGTGAGTTCAACCTAATCTTACATTTCTGTCTTTTAATTCTCTCTAAATCTGTTTTTAACTTTGCTTAACATTCATTATCCTTTTTCATGCTCTAATTCTGCAAGTTAAAAAAAAAAATAGCCCACGTGTGGGAGTACATTCAACATTTCTACACGGGGATGGTGTTTTTAATATGAAACACCAGTTTGTCAGCAATTAGAGTGGGAAGTAGGTGGAGAGGAGAAGTGGATGGAGGATATACAATGGAGGATTAAGATTGATGAATGAGGGGCAGAAAGGCTCCATGGTGATGGCTATGCCACTTGTAGGAGCACAAAATCTAAATAATAACTTTTCAACGGGAGATTGTCAGAAAAAAAATAAATAAAACCAAACCAAAACAAAACAAGCCCACAAACAAATAACCCAAAACCCCCAAATAACAACAAAACCCACCCAACACACACACCCCACACACAGAGCATTCCTGAAGTTACCTGGCATGATTTGATCACAATTAGCTGTCCCTTCTACCGTGCTGACCTCGTGTCATACATAAAAGATCTCATACTTTTTGACTCTTTCATTAATCGGGTCCTGTATTAACTTTGCAATGCAGCTCTCGCTCAATATTGTTTGGAAGCCATGCCAACACTTTTCTGTTACACAGATTTGTGTATTTTGGGACATTGAAGGCTTTTTTCATTAAGTATTATTCTTTGCTAATGTGTAGTTAATAACATAATGGAAAAGCTTTTAAACTCCTCTGAGAATTAAACCACTCATACTTGTTTAACTGCTTGATCTCCTAATGGATATAGTGTAGGATTTAATATTCTGCTCATTTACATTACTTACCAGAAGAAAGGAGACTTTTAACTGCTTTTTCTAAAAACAACAGTAAATCATGTTTAAGTTGATTGATTTCTGCATACATATTAACACAGACTAATGAAAGGCACAATACCTTCACAATCCACGCCATCGTGTTCAACTACTGCTGAATATTAGATTTTTTTTTCATTTTTATTTTTTGCTTAGACTGGAGAAACAGCATCCCTATTGTATGGTAGAATTTGACTTATCTCACAGCTGGATTCACTCCTTTGTGCAAAGTGTGGTGCTAAGTTAAACTAAAATTCCATTTGGTCTGTAATTAACAGAGCTACGCTGATTAACGCCAACCACTGCTCCAGCCTTATACATCTGGTATCATAATTGAAAATCAGACATGAGAAAACTTTTAAGGATTAGATTATATCTGCTTTATTCACTCTGAGAAATACTTTATCCCCTAACACAGTCATTAAAATGGACATCAGCCGAGAACAGCAGTAGAAGCTGCAAGCACCTCACAGGCAACTCTTCAACGTGTTCTCCCTCATTCCATCTTGCCTTCTCTCTCCCACAGTTATTCAAGTAGCTGCATTGTGATGGTGAATTTATGACACAGATTAAAATCTTCATATATAACCCCAGTCTGAAACATCCCCAGTCATTCCCAACGAGGATGTAAAAGTTAACTGAGCACAAATCTCCATATATAACTATTAAATTCACGACCACCACCTCAGAGTCAGCCATTCATCCATGTCAGCATCTCCAGCAAACTAACAGCTCCAAGCTGTCTCCTCAAACAAGAGTACTCTGCATTTAAAAAAAAAAAAAAAAAAGTCAGGCAGAAATGTCTAATAGAGAGAGAACTGTGTAATAAGGGCAGTTCTCCAGGTACATTGTGATGCTGATTGATTAACTTCTGCAGGCCTGATTACTCTGCCACCACAGCGTTCTGTTCTCCTCGAGGGGCACTGCTGGTACTCCGTGGATCCATCCCGAGATCACAGCACTGCTCAGCATGAACAGGACACGAGGGAGCAGGGACACACTCACAGCTGGACACAAAGAACCAAGGTCTCAACAACTATTCCCCTCAGATAACCCCTAAGTCCATGGGCTGTCCACATTCCTGAGGGAAATCACAACAGCACAGCTGACATCCTAAGAGCTGCTCTCTCTTATAGAAATGGTCACATTTAGAACCTTAGAACCGCTACCCTGACATGTTTTACTGAGGATGCTGAGAAAAATTAGCGTCATGAGCGCGAAAATAATCATAATCAAAGTGATTGAAAATTACTGTCATGAATGCTGAAACAATCAAATCCATAAAGTGCACCACAATATTTTACCAGCTACTCCAGGCCACACATCGAGTTTGTCAAGTGATATTTCTGCAGTCTGAGTGGCAGCTGTGATCCAACACAATCACACCCGAAATGCTCTCATTAGCTGGATGGCTGGTACAAATGTGTGACCTGTAAGGGCTTGGCATCTCACAGAAGTCTGTTAGATAAACAAAACCAGAAAAAGGCAGAGAAACCTCAAAGCAAATGAGCAGGATATGTACAACCCTCTTCAGTTGTTAATAAATCTCCATTTTTCTTTTCTGATAAGGCAATATGCTTCAAGAGAATTTCTCAGCAAATGAAAAAAAAAAAATAAAGTACCAGATAAATGTTTCAGTGGAAAACTCTCAAGCACTACATCAGTTATTCAGTTGGATTATATGGAATTCTGAGTTCCAGATGTGCACAACCTTCCTCCTTGCCTGGACTTCTTTGAAAGGTGAGTCAGGAATGCAGACAGAGAAGACTGTGGTGTATTCCATGAGGGTTCTAGGATGCAGGGAACACCCAGAGCACCTTGCCTTGCAATAAGAATTCAGGCAGGATGCAGTCATGGGGACTCAAGACTTCAGTATGCCACAGAGTGGTGCAGGTTTAGGTGGGATATTGGGAAGAAATCCTTCCCTGTGAGGGTGGGGAGGCCCTGGCACAGGTTGCCCAAAGAAGCTGTGGCTGCCCCATCCCTGGAAGTGTCCAAGGGCAGGTTGGACAGGGTTTGGAGCAACCTGGGATAATGGAAAGTGTCCCTGCCCATGGCAGGGGGTGGAACAAGATGATCTTTAAGGTCCCTTCCAACCCAACCCATTCTAGCTGGGTATATCTGTTGGTATTTATGCACATAAGAGAATCAAGCCTTTTGAGTTGATACATATGGGGCTGTAATGCAGAATTTTGCAATATAAAACAAAACCTCTAAATGCAAGGGATATGTTCCCCCTAAAGTCACAGAAGGGAAGGGAGGTCTTAAATCATGTGAATAAGCAATTGAAACAGAATAAACAATTCCATTTGAGCCTCAAGTTAATTATGGCACTGTAGCTGTCAAAAATTCATCTGAAGCACTTGCTGCCTAAATTGAGGTTGGACATCCAAATTGAAATGTCATTTTTATTAGACTATGACACTTAGAGAAATAGCCTCTTCTCTTCTAGTAGGCTATAGCCATTAACTCCCATTAGTGCTAATGGAGTTATGCACATACATCACATGCACATACATCACTGAGCACCTTTGGAACACTCATAATGTCACATTAGATAACAGCTGTTTTATTGCAGTACAGGAAAGTGATTCCAGGTGAGGCTGGTCAGGCCCATTAAGACCTATATTGGTGCACTCAGTGCCCTGACACCTGGGGCAAAATAGAATTTTTAAACAGGCACTGCAAAGAGACTTAAACCCAGAGATGCAAAGCCAAAAGGGACCATATCTCAAATTTTGCCCAAATTATATATATTATCCCAGAAGTTTTGCCACCTTTCCTAAGGACTTGTTCTCCCTGCAGACCTGTCCCTACCAACCGTTTTGGGAATGGACTGTACAACCTCCAAGCCACCTCAGCTGTGGTAGACAATTATAGTTATCTGTCCAAAAATATTTGCATTTCCAATTTTAACATAATTATCCTCATAACCCCCTGTTAAAATGCAGAAATGTAATCATCCTGATTCTGCTGATGGGCAGTTCATGCTTAGAGAATTAGCTGAATTGCCCACAGTAATTTAGGAAATCTGTTGCAGAGCCAGGCCTAAAACTAGAGTTATACACGGCCTCTAACATGGAACCAACCTTCCTCTTGGAAAAAATAAGAATTTGGCCTCTCTTAGGCACTCTTTGTGTCCCAGTGTTACTCCAGTTTCAGTGCAATGACATGTAAGACAGAAATTATCTGACTTTTTTTAATTGACAGACAACTGAGAGCCTTGGCTCGTGAAAGGGTTTTTGGATTTTCCCTTTCGTGTGTGCTTGCCAGAAAAACCAGAAATTTTTTTTCTCTGTTATTTGGATTTCAGAATCACTACCCTCGTGCCTACCATGCTTTTTTAAAAACCTGAAATTTAGGTTATAAACAAGAAACTGAAGTGCTACAAATGTCCATTAACAACGAGGAAAACCCGATCCAAAGAACCTTGTGGCTTCAGCAAGTTTTACTGCTCTTATTCATGGTGTGAAACTTCCTCTGAAAGGAAAATAGTTGAGATCAGGCAACAAATGAACTCTTTGGAATATATATAATAATATATGTTGGATTTGAGGGCATCATTGCACCCTTCATTATATTGCATGTTAGACACAGACCTGTTAATTAAATTGCTTTGAATCTTTAGCTGAAGGCTAGTGGAATAAAATTCCAAGTACTCTTTGGAGCAGGGTGGTTCTGTTTTCCTGGTTTTTGGATGCCTGGATACCACCACGCTGCAGATATGGAATGAGAATGATAACATCTGCTCCACGTTCAGTTTAAATGCCCAGTGTTGTGCAGCTCTTTAACTAACTGAGGGGCCCTGGAAGCTTGGGGTCGTTTCTGGGTGAGGTGAACCAAGCCTTTCCTCCCCAGCTGAGCCACCTCTGACCTCTGCAGCAGCACAGGCTGCTCTGCCCCGGCTGTGCACGAACAGGATGTCACATCTCAGAAAACAGAGCCCACAGAGGGGGATTGTAACAAACCCCACGGTTCGTGTTTATTAAGCACTGTGCCCGTTGTTACAACCCCAAAATGCCTTGCATTATGGATTTGCCATTCCTGGCAGCACTCTATCAATAGGAAATTGAGTTGAACCTTTGCAGCTGAAGATAAGTGTGACTAATTGCCCTCTTCAAACAACTCTTGCACTGAATTAATTCTTGCACTTAGATACCATGTTTTATTAATGCTGGGATCCAATCTACCACAAAGGCAGTATGTAGTAAGAGTGAAAATATTTACCACTGATTGCAATATCAGCTCCTAACAGCTCTGGGGCACTTCTCAGATACCAGTTAAGGGAACCCTGTACACTGTGCAGAGCTCCAAGAAGCTCTGTGCACACTGTAGTGTTCACCTTAGTCATCCCAGTTCCTTTTGTGCAGAGAACAGATGGCAACAGAATCTGATTTTTAGTAGTCCTGTACAATCCCTGCTAAGTCGTTGTCAGAACTTACTGCCGTTGTTACACACCGTAGATGCACCAAGTGGAAAATCTAGAAAGACTTTTATAAATGTCACTGTAAAATGCTTTCACCTCTGGAGCAGTTGGGTTGAGAACCCTCCAGTGTGGTCAGACAGGCTGCTACAAAAGACAAATGGAAGAGAGGCACTCACTGAGCTTTGAGGCTGCACCATTTTTGGGGTGTAAGTGGGAGGTGGGAGGGGTTGTTTCTGTGGGACAAAACAACCTGCCTTTAACTCAGAGGTCACTGGGGCAGAACTGCTGATCCCTCTTTCCAGATGGTTTGAAAGCCGATCCCACATGCTTGGATTGCACGTTTATTTTGTATTATTTTGTAGTAATACATAATGCAATATTGCTGCAAAAAGAGCAACTGAAAAGCCAAACAACCCTACATCTCATATTTGGAGTTTAAGTGACCTGCCTTCCACCCAGGCTTTTACAACATGAGATGACATTGCTAAAACAGACTGACTGAGAAAGAATCAGCAGCTCACCATGCAAACAGGTTAGTAAATCATTTTAGGGCTGAAAGAAGCTTTTATATTAATGAAATGGCTTTGTATTACAAACCTAATCTAGATAACCTGCTTAATTCCTTGTCATCTTAATTCATGAATTTATGTCAGGAATTCCCAAAAGTCTGGGACACTTGCCTGAAATTTTTAATTCCTTTCAAAATCATACATCTCAATTTAATCAGAAATATAAATGCAGTGTACCCAATATTTCTTAAACAAATGGAACTTGTAAATAAATATAGCTTAAAAATATTTTATGTATTTTCCTATTGAAGAACATTGCAAATATTAAATATATCACATTAGTCTACAATTCAGTTAAATGGATTTATATTACTTAGCAATTCACATGTAGATTTTTTTCTAATGGAATTTTAAAACACAGATAATCCTCACAACATGTTCATGAATACTGTTTAAGTCTCATAGTGTTCTTGTAAGGCAGTGTAGAATTCTTTTGGCTTTCAACAGAAATACCTTGGGAATGGCAACCAAACCTGGGAGTCAGCAGAAGACATAGAACAAGACCCACTGTCTGCAGCCTGCAGTGTTCACAGCTCCCAACCCCCCCATCATTCCAGCTGTGTACCTCTAGTACAGCAACACCTTCCTTAAAACCATTTTTTGCTCTTCTAGAAGTGGGAATGCAGCTGTAAGATCCAACCTACCTTCAGCTAAAGCCACGGTGAACTCAAAACCATCCACGGATAATTTTTGTTCCCCGTGCAACGAGAAAGTTTTCACAGGGACGAATCAATCCCCTCAATTCCCTCTGAACAATGTTCTTTGGC